ACAAACTTTATACGCAACGTACTATAATGTGATTTTTGACAAAACAATAGTTTACTTTCTAATCCGTCATTTGGTAGTTTTTTCGAAACAACGTATATTTTTATTTTACTAAATTTGCGCACTTAGTTATTTATAAGCGTCACCAAGGACAACACATAGTGCTTTAACTTCTTGGAAAGAAACAAAAGCCACAAATTTTATCGACAAGTGAGTTTCTTTAACTAAGAGAATCTTGTTTTTCAGCATATACTTTATCAATTAAGTCATGTGTGGATACTATATGCACCAGGAAAGGTAGTGCGTAATTTTTTAACTATGTGACAAGAAGTGAATAACAAGACTTGTGTATAGGAATTAAATAAAAAATAAATTATTCGATGCACTTAGTTATTTATAAGCATCACCAAGGGCAACACATAGTGCTTTAACTTCGTGGAAAGAAACAAAAGCCACAAATTTTATCGACAAGTGAGTTTCTTTTCCACAAATTTTATCGACAAGTGAGTTTCTTTAATTAAGAGAATCTTGTTTTTCAGCATATACTTTATCAATTAAGTCATGTGTGGATACTATATGCACCAGGAAAGGTAGTGCGTAATTTTTTAACTATGTGACAAGAAGTGAATAACAAGACTTGTGTATAGGAATTAAATAAAAAATAAATTATTCGATTTATGAAGAAAGAAATTGAAGTGGTCCCTAATTATATTTTCACAAGTGAATAGGAATTATCTTAATTTATATATTTGATCAGAAATGCAACAGGAAAGAAAAAAAGTATCATTGGATTTTCTCATAAAAGAAAACTTGGTGCGTATGCTGAATGTAAAGTCATTGTTTCCAACACATAACCTAATAATATATTATATCTTGTCTTTCACCTCCCTAATCTTGCTTTAAATATTATTCTTTGCACAAAGCTTTCATTAATAATTGGGCATTTGGGAACTTGGGTTTATTTATTTATTTATTTATTTATTTTTAAATCAAGTTTTCTTGGTTGTTAATTGTCGTGAATTTGTCATGTGCATATAACTAATGAATATTTTTTATATAAAATTAGTTAAATACCCATTTCTAGACATAAAACTATAAATAAATCCTATACTATTTAATGTATATAAACACACCCAAAATAAACCCAAAAATCAACAGCTGTCGATTTTTTCAATTCAACAGTTATATTGGATTACGGTTTTGCCCTTTGCTATTTTGAGAAACGGCTGACTTTTTTTTTT